CTACATAAACTCCAGATAGATGCACAAGACTGGCAATACTGATGGGTCCAACAGTGGGAGGCAGATTCTCTCTTTGGTATGCCCTTTTCTATTGTTTGACTTTTTCCCCCACATTCAGGTTATTTTACTTATTAAAGACTAAAATAAAAAATACAAAGGGAGGTATGAAAAAGTCCTACTTAAATTATTTGCCCTTTGCCCCATTACTCTGTAATTAGGGAACATTTGGCCAAGTGTATGGTGGAAATCTTGCCTATTAATGAGGATGGAAACATTTGTTAAGGACTTCCTTTGTGCTCATGAAAAAAAAATAGTGATGAGCACAGCACTTTACAAGCTTCCATATACATTTACTATTCGATAGTTTTAATTCTATGAGATAGTTAACAGTATCTGTATTTACTGATAAAGGCTCAGGTTAAGAAACATGCCCAAGGTGATGGCTACAAGGGCACAGCTGCATTTGAATCTGTGAAAATTGTGGTGATTTGATCTTTCTACTCTATGTGACGTCTTAGATGGCACATGTCTGTTCCTAATATTGATGGGTATCATTCTTCTACACATTAGGTACCGATGGGCCTTTATTCCAGAAGTCTCAGATGATTCCGGTTTGGAAGTCAGAAGGCAAGGCATACATCAACGAGAGTTTAAACCTTATGTAGTACGACTGGCAAAACTTCTTCGAAAAAGGGCAAAGGTATTACACTTCTTTTAAATTTTAGTTTAAGATAGAATTTATAAAACATGTGTTATGAACTTTACCATATATTTTTCATTACATATCAGATTAATTAGAAATCTTGACCCAAGAAAATAGTAAAGTTGACCCTTGAACAATGTAAGGGTTAGGGTACCAACACTCCCCTGCACAGCTGAAAATCCATGTATGCCTTTTGACTCCACAAATCTGAACTACTAATAGCCTACTGTTAATCTTACCAATAATGTAAGTGGTCGATTAACACATATTTTATATGTTACATGAATTATGTATTGTATTCTTGCAATAAAATAAAATAGCTAAAAGGAAATGTTAAGAAAAATCTTAAAAATTATAGCATTTACTGAAAAACAAACAAAAAACCTGCAGAGAAGTGTACACATATAGTTCAAACCGGTAGTTGTTCAAGGGTCAGTTGTAATGAATTTAGCATGCTTACCAGTGAGCTTTTGTTATAAATCTTTTATTTTGCCTTCAAAAATTTAAAAAGTAAATTGTACAATTTGGAGATTTTGAGTTCTAGTCTTCAGAATGTGCTTTGAGTGCTCAGAAATTTTCCAGTCTTCTGGGGTCCCTTAGTCAGTAGCTCCTAAACTACTTTCTACAAACTACAGAAAATGGAATGGAGGCAAATGATTAAAAAGGAGGTTGTACTTGAAGGATTTAAAATCAAGTTATTTCTTTAGGGACCAAGTAAAAGGACAGAGCCAAAGATGAAAGTTGAGTCCAGAGTTTAGGGTAGGACTTAATTACTTCCACTTTGATATCACAGGTTTGAAAATAATATTAATAGCAAATCCAGAAGCAAGGTGACGATATGACCCCTAAGCACAGGTACTCTGTCATCCTTGCATGTCTTTATTGAGCATTTTCTTAAGATTCCTCCCTTATCCAAGGGATAAATATGACAGTCTTATCCCACAGATATGAAAACAGTTTTGATTGGAAAGCATTCCCAAACACTTTAAACAAGGCCTTCATGGCCAAGCATACTTTTCCTGGAACAAAGGCTATCAGTTCTCCTCTTTCCTTCCACAGGACAAGGAGGAGGACTTTAAGACAGTGATTTTGGAGGGATTGGAGATGACCAAGCATCAGGTGAGGGTGGCTTTTTGATGCTTGTAATATGGCAGCAAAAGTTGCCACATCTGTACCAAATATTGAGACACAAACCCAGATCTGAATTTCATCCATTACAACAGTTAAAAAGGAAGGAAGCCTTTCTTTAAATATAGTTTGGCAAAGTGAAAGGGGAAACCATTTGTATGGAAACGTGTTTAACTTTTTAATTTTACTTATTATTGAGGAAGGTAATTTTGATTAAGAAGAGCAAAACACCAAAACTTCTTCTTGGTCTAGTGCTTAGTTAAGCCCCTCTTAAAGGTACATCTGGACAGGAACATAAAAGGTTAACCTTAGTTCTCTTACATTGGGAAATATTTATGTACAGGGATCAAATATATTATTCATTTTACTTACAGATAATGTTTAATACACTCTAATTACTATGGAATTGTAGTTTGATTTAGGGAACTAAAGGTCGTATGGTCAGCAAACTAATGGTAGTCAATGCTGTGAAAATCAGTCCTGGGACTGTCTTTAAAGCAAGTGTTATAGTCAAGAGAAAGGGAGATGGTTTTTTAAAAGTGTATTTTTATTGATTTCAGAGAGGGAGGAAGAGAGAATCATTGATAGGCTGCCTCCTATACACCCCACACTGGGAACTGAGCCCACAACCCAGGCATGTGCTCAACCACTGACCCACACCATCTAGGCAGGAAGATGGCTTTTTATAGCCTATAATTGAGACTGGAGGCTAAATCACTGCTAACATATTAACTAAGAGCTGGGATTTTTCTGGCCATGAAAAATTGGAAGATCTTTTGTTTAAATAGTCTTCTAACTTAAATCTTTTTTTCCTTTCTCAGGACTTTATTTTTAAATTAGCAAACAAAATTAGCAAACAAATGAACACACACAAGAAAATGAGCTGGATTTTGCATCTCCTTTCTCCACTAGGAAATTAGTAACATTAAAATATTAGGTAGATACAAGTTTCTTGGCAATATCTCATCTTGTAACTAATATGACAGATTGTAATTCTGTTTCCTAAGTTTTACTTGATTTTTCTTTTTCTCCTCCTCCAGGTTAGTGTTTTTCATGTCTTTGAGTCTGCCTAAGTTCAAACATCTTTAGTTCTTATAACTTTTTTCAGACATATTGATATCTAAAAGTATGTTTGTATATTTAATGGCTTTTCAAATTAGTTTCTTAGCACACAGATGAACTTGTGTTTAATTGACAGAATTTTTACATACATACATTCTCATTTGACTTTACTGCTGCAAGATAGAGTGCCCCATTTTACAAAGGTAACTTTCTGTATCTTGTCCAAAGATACACAGTAAGTAAATGGCAGAGCTAGGACACTATCCTGGATATTTTTACTCCAGTTCTAGCTCTCCTCCCCACATTGTTAGCACAACACAATCTCCCAAGAGTTTCTTTCCTTTCTTTTTGCTGATGACAATTACTTTGGGTCTTGCTACCATTTTGCGGCAAGTTTAAGCCACTTGGCTAGTAGAGAATTGAGTTACTAATGGTAAAATGTACTAGTATAAGAATCTGTTTCTTCCTGGCCTTCTGTAGACATTCTGTGACCTAGTCCTTGGTTACATTAGTGGGAGTCCAGAAATCTGGGAGCTTTTTGAGTATATGCAAAGCACAAAATAAACTTTTAATATTTCACTCTCCCTATCCAAAACCAATTCTATTAAGCTTCTTTATGCATTCTAGTTGAAAAAATGTAACCAGCGTTTGACTGCTCTATATTCATTTAATAACTAGTGTCAAAAGGCCTCAGTTAAAAGAATCTTAAATCTACAATGAAGATGTAATATCAATTGTATTTAACTGTTTATTGATGTTTATTCCTTTTTAAGTATTCTCATGTACTACATCTGTTAGTAACAATTCCCTTTTTGTTTCCTGCTTGTTTCCTGTAGAAAAATCCAGAGGAAGACAACTCAGGGAGGACATTAGGTTGGGAGCCGGGGCGCCTGCTGCTCACCATCTGTACCGTGCGCAGTATTGAGCAGCTTCTGCCATTCTTCAATGTACTCAGTCAAGTCTTCAACAGCAAAGTCACTAGCCGATGTGTGGGACACTCAGGGAGCCCCGTCCTCTACTCAAACACGTTTCCTAATACGGACATGAAACTGGAAAACCACAAACCATTTTCCAGCAAAGCCAGGCAAAAAATAGAAGAGATGGTAGAAAAAGATTTTCTGGAAGGAGTGATAAAAACTTGAGCACCACAAGTGATTCCATTTAGTTTAAATGTAAATGTAATCATTTACAACAAACATTACTCTGAGTTCTATAGTTTCTTTTTTTTTCTTTTTTTTTTGTATGTAACAAAACACATTTCAGGTTGTATTTAAGTATTTGTAAATAAGAGCAAATGTCTGAATGTGGCCTGGATCACGTTTAAATATTGTTGGCTCATATTGATTATGGTGCCTAAGAGAGATCTATATATGCATATATAGTTCATTGTTTTACTGTCCTGAGTTGTCTTAAACCTGCAAAATACACACTGCACATTTTTTTCTATTGGCGTCGAGATTGGGAGTTTTTCTTTGTTATTAACCACTTTTTGTGTCAGAGGTTTGGTGATCCATTATAATTAACTTTCTCCCACACACCTTCACTAAGCGGAGTTATGAACAACTGAAGCCTGGGACATGACCCCTTTGCATGTAGCATGTCCACCTCAGGACGGAGATGTACAGCCTCCATATTCTTCCTCTGAGCTCCTGATGACAGTAACTGCAGAGGTAAGTCACTTAAAATCACTCTGGTGGAGAACAATTGACTGCAAACAACATCCTAGTTAGGTAATGGCAACAGAAAAGACATTCCAACGTGTTGCTAATAAATAAGATTTAATTTTCCAGCAGACCTCATGATTTCTTCCCAGCACACAGTATAAAGTTAATTGAATCATATATGTAAGCCCCGAAATTTTACATTAGTGAGACTGAAACTAGAGGTAAGTTTCATTAAAAAAACGAATTTAACAAGTATAAGGCTTAGCTGTTTCTAAAGAATTATTCTGGTAGTGTTTAAGAAAAACAATCAGACCTAGAAACAATCCATTAAGGTGCAGTAAACATTATGATTATAGATGTGTTTGAACTTGTCACAATAATGGCATTACCGTTCTGTAAAAACCTTTTAAAAATCCAGTCTCTTAAGAATGTAAAAATTGTCTTCAGAAACCTGGTTGGGGACTTTCTCCAACCCCTCCAGCCAGCTGAAATACCGCCACGCTCACTTCATGTGCAAGGCTGTCGGCACTTTCCTAAAAATTACATTGAAGTTGATTAGATGGGAAAGACTACTTGCAGCTAACCCTGAGGGAAGGGGAGGGAGTTTCCTGATTGGTTTCACTAACAAATTAAAATGAAAGCTTTTTTTTCATGTTTCAGTAGAAAATTCTAACCACCTTAAATACATGGAAAACAAGTCAAAGTCTCCCAAATAGGTAAGTTCTTAAATCAGATTATAGTTATCAAAACTGAATAAATTTAATAAAACATAGTAATGGTCCTTAATGGCCAAACACAGCCATAATTATCCTCAAGAGTAACATTAAGGCTCCAGATAGCCTCTCTTCACCTCACCAGGGGTATTATTTATTCTTTATATTAGAGGCTCAGTGCACAAATTCGTGTATCAATAGGGTCTCTCTGCTATCCCTGGCAGGGTCGCGGGTTGGGAGGGCACAGGACAGGCCAAAGCACTATCAGGGAAGACTCCAGGGCAGCTGGACCCAGCAGCAAGCTAACCTACTGGTCGGAACGTCTGCTCCCTGGTGGTCAGTGAATGTCATAGTGACTGGTCAACCGGCCTTAGCATATCATTAGCATATTATGCTTTGATTAGTTGAAAGGATGACCAGACACTTTCATTATATAGCATTCTGGGATGGCCTAAGGCTTCTGCAGAAAAGCTGCCAGCTAATGCAGTATACATTAATGGAAAATGTCTACATCTGAGCCCCTATTCAATAGACTATTACCTCCACTATGGAAATATTTTTATCAAGGTTGTTTAAAGTGACAGAAAAGGATGTGTGAGAGGGCAAATTATTAATATCCAGATCACAAAAACAGTGAAAGCACAGAACAAGGCTGTCATTTAAAGGAAATATTTCCAAAAACAATTGAGATATGAGAGTCAAACATGAATTTCAAAAATGGATCTCAACCGTGATTGTTTTCATGAAACAAGATTGTGTTTTTATAGGAAAAAAAAACATAATAGTTCAACATGTGTCAAGCTAAGTACTTATTATTCATGCCACCATTATAAAAGTGACTTTTACGAAATATAGAATCAAAAGAAAAATATTTGTGGAAAGAATCTAAGTGGGTGTAATTTTGTACAACTATATAACAACCACTGATGAAAATTAAAGTTTTGTAATCTTAATATGAACTTAAGTGCTTAATTATCACAGTGAGACTGCAACACTATTAAAGTAATGTTCACCTCTTATTACCACCCCACACTACCTATTTTTATTGGATTCTCACTGCACATTTTTTCAATAGAACTGTATCAGCTTACTTGTGAATCTGCTTCTGCATATACTCGGACTATATCTTCTGTACCAGAGGGCCGGACAAAAGCTCGGGAAAGCTTGTACTTCTTCACCAGATTGTCAATAGCCTCCTGTAGTCCTGGGGGGGTGACTGCTTTCCTTTCAGCATCCGTGGTGCTAATAACTTGCCTGTCTGCAACCTGTGCACAAGCATTTCATGCTTGTTATAATTTCATTCCTAATAACAGAGCTACATTTCAGCTTCTTGTACACAAAGTACAGCACAGAAAGTAAAGTATCAAATTATGCATACAATGAAATTGCATTAAATTTTTATAATTATTATTGCCAAAAGCAGGGTTGTTGATTTCAACTTTTTTTCTGTTTCTTCAACTTTTTTTCTGTTTCTTCAGTCTACAAAGAATTACCTTTAGCAAAAAGAAATAACATTTCCACATACTGTCTTACAGCTAATTAGCACTAAAATAAAGCTCCATAAATACGGTATGAGTTAAGTCATTGATCAAATTATCTTAGATTGTCACTTACTTTTTAAAAAATTACCTATTATATAAGAAGATCATGATGAGAATCTCCTTGTGCTCCAAACTAATCTGAACAATCAGCAGCTCTTTCTGTGAACTCTGGTGGTGAATGTGTAAACTGGTATAAATCTACATGGAAATCAATTAGCCATTTATCTTAAATGCCTTTTAAAAATTCTCTCCCTTTGAGCTCACGGTTTCTATTTAGCATCTAGCCTTAGGAACTATTTTTACTCAAAATGATAGGCTATCCAGGATGTGCTTCAAAATAATACGGGGATGTGGAGAATGTAGAGGGCACCATTTAAAATCTACCGAAGCTGGGTATACAGAGGTTCATTATTTTGTTCTCTCTATTTTAAGTTTTCCATAATTTTTCAGTGATATATAATTATAACAGATTTGGAAACCAAATACTTCTCAAAAAATAGAATGGTTAAAAATTATTCTAGATATGAAAATATACAGGTGATATAAGGCATTATTCTCCATGTAACATTTATGTTTAGAATGAAATATAAAACACTTGGGAAACATTTTTATATAGTGAGATTTGAAATAATAGGTTTTAATTTTGAAAAAAAGAATCTTAAAATCTTGCTCACACCTTAACTTTGAGCTGTCGGTTTGGAAGATCTGTATAGAGAACATCCCACTGTTGTACAGTCAGCCTTTTCAAAGCCAAGATTGCCTCAATCACCAGCATGTCAGAAATAGCATCACCAGCTGCCTGCAAGAAGGGAGACAATGGAAGGAAAGATGTGAATGTAGAAAACCAGTCTAAGTTTCTTGTGCTTCCTGCTCCTCCCCCAATGCAGCAACATTAACTGGTGTGTATAAATTAAATATTGAGGGGAAAAACAAACTAGCTCTTAAAAAACTTAGCTTTAATCTTCCTCCTTAGCTATAAAATGAAATAACTTTTAAGATTTCAGCTTTAAGAAAATTTTAACTCAAATTTTTCTTTATAACTAGATCCCTTTTGAGATATACCGTATAGAAGGCATCATGCAAGGAAGTGAAGAAATAGGAACTTTGGTGTAAGTTGAAGCCATGTTCTGCCACTTATTAGCTTTAAGCCTTTGTTTCTTCATATATAAAATGACAATTATAATAACCCTGCTCCCTGTGCTACAGCAAAGATTATACAATGCAGTATGTAAGGTGCCCAAAATGTGCAATATGCTCAAATGTTACTTCCATAGCTTTGCTTGTTCTTCCATTGCTATTAGCAACACTCCAATCCCAACCAGTCTGACCCACAAGACAACTGATTGTTCTTCCTGAATTTCGAGAAAATAGGTTTAAAAAAATATAATTAGTCTACACACACACACACACGCATACATAAGGGAAGCACTTCAATGTTCTGTCATGGGCATTTCAGGGTAAATCTCCACTGCATGTGCCATGGCTGTGAGGAAGCTTGCAGGACTTCACCACTTTAAATTTTTATACAGCCCACTATTCTGTCCACCTTTATGAATAATGTGAAAGTAACCAAGAACCACCAGCCCATCAGTTCTAACCTGGTTAAACAAATCAATAATATTTTCAAGCATCTTAGCAGCTTTCCTTTTCTTATCTTCTAATTCTTCTGATAGCCGTTTTATCTTCATTTCAGCAGTTTTACTAAACAACACCTGCAAAGAGAGCATACACAATCACAAAACTACCGCAGGCCCAGTCATAAGTACTATGCTAAAATGCTTTTGAAATTCTAAATGAATCTGGAGAAACTGAGGGGAAAATAATGGCAGCATTACAATGTATGGAATTAATATACAATCAAAGCAAAACCCAAAAGATATTACTAAGGAGAAAAAAGGTCCTTTATGGATTACAAAATTGGTTATCAACATTTAAAGAACTGATTACAAATAAAATACCACCTTAGCAAAGGTGATCATCCAAATGGGTTGATTATGTTTGTCCCTCATCCAGCTAAATCGGCTCTGTGCAACCAGGTTTCTTAGGTAGATCTGAAGTAGATAATTCATTACAACTAGTATCTTTTTGTCCTAAAATTAAGACCATAAGCTAGGCAGAAGTAGAAAGCACACTCCACTCATCTATATCACATTGTGGCAAATAGTGCCATAACTATTACAACATACATCATGTTCCTCAAGATTTCTGTCATTTTTGATATGCCTTTCCTATGATTTTAGTGCCTTCAGATGCCCACTACTGAGGAGGAGCAGCATACCAGGCTCAGCCACTTGCTAAAATACTTATTTGTTGGTCACTTGTTTGACTGGAATACAGCCACACACATTCATTTACTGCAGCACACCAGCAGGCCTGACCAGTTTTAACAGACATTATAGCTCCAAAGCCTAAAATATGTACTATTATCCCTTCATATTCATTCACCAGCCTCTGCATTAGATCACTGATCTTTTAGTTGTTGTATTTTCTAAGAACTTATTTTCCTTCTACTTTCATTCATTGACTGTAAAACCAATTTTGAAATTCTTGAGGAAAATTATTTGACCAGATAACTTTTTGTATTGGGCACCTCAAATCTATTTTTGAAATGAGGCAAAGTGTAAAAACATCTAAAGAAAAATTATGTATTTTATGAATATACTAAAAACCATTTTTATATAATACATTAAAATTTTGAGTTTTATGGCAGGTGAGCTATATCTCAAAAAATTTTAAAAACATTCTGTCTGCTAAGAAAACCAAAAAACAACAACAAAAAACATGCTTATTGCTAATTACATTTCCATTTGTTTATAACTTAATCCTCAAGCTATCCAACACTTTTCAATTTACCACACCTACTGTACTTTTTACCACCTATGGCCAGTTGAACAGAATATTTTTAAATGATATATAGAAAACCAGCTTATTAAAAAATTAAGATGTGCATTCTTATAAGTAACTATAAGAACAAATCAGCAGTATTTCTTCACTCTCAAAGGCATATCAACCAAATAATCAAACTCTTTTACCATTCTACTAATTTCAACAAAGTAGAATTTCACCTATTACTAACCAGTTATAGAATCCCCATCATTAAAAAAAAAGTGTCAGCTAAAGTTGTAATTGTTTGAGAACTTACTGTGCCATGCCCGTTTGCTTCAAAATAAATTCCAATATCAAACTCCTGAGCCTTGTGGTGCAAATGTTTTACACCAGTTTTAGTACAATAGACTGGTACCTATAACACATTAAAAAATAACAGCAATTATTCAATCAGCAAATTCATTGTGTACCTACTATTCAGGGATACAGTAGGAACAAAACCTGGAGCTTAATCTAGTGAGGAAGACAAAGTAGTTAAAACCAAAAAGAAGGCACTTAGAAGCACAAAGCAAGGGGAAGCAAGGCGAGAGAGATGAGGATGAGGAGTGACATGATCTGGTACAGAAAGCTCAGTTTAGCTAGCTACAGGAAGAAGAGTGGCTTAGAGTAGAGGTTTACAAGCTTTTATTATAAAAGGCCAATTATTCTAGGCTTTGCAACCACATTGTCTCTGTTACAATTGCTCAACTCTCATTATCTGTGAAAGCAGCCACAGACAATACAAAACAAATTAGCATGGCTGTATTCCAATAAACCTTTATAAACAGGGGGCAGGCTGGATTTTGCCCACAGTTAACCCTCAACTTAAGAGGGGCGATTAGGAGTTTTCTAGGATTAATCCCAGTAAGAAATTATGGTGGTTGGACTGGAAACAGTGGTTAAAGTCTTGATAGTGGAAAAAATACAAAAAGATTAAGATCAAATAAGATGGACATTTGATTGGATTTAGGAAGCCTCAAGAATCGTTAGAGCTAAAAGTATTTAATTTATTAGAAAATGGTTGAAAAGTAACAGTTTTTGATGTACTCAGTTTCTTAAACGGTATCGTGTCTATAAGGGATTTTTAAGATAGAAAATAGGAATTAAAATACTAAAACAACCACCTGAATACTGAAAATCCCTGTGAAAAGTAGGCAACTGGGCCTCTGATGGAAGTCCCTTGGGAAACTCTACTGTAAACCACTTTTGCCCCACCCTGCAATCAATCAGATCACAAACTCCAGCCTCCAGATGAGTTCTATTGTGCCTGCTCACTATTCTTAAACTTATATCAATTGCCAAGATATGAAAAGTCAGAAATTCACATGAAGATTTCTGTTTCAACTCCTCACAGCTGGCTTGGGCACACTCTTCCTAGTCCTCACCTGCCCACTGTGCTCACTCACTTCAGCCATCCAGATACTACAGCAACCTGGCTTCACCATTCCTACTTTAAAGGCAAAAAATAGCAAAATGCAGGGACTTAAAAAGGGATAGTTAGAAAAGATTGCAGTAGCTGGTGAGAAAGAGAGTCAAGGCAAACAGACCCAGTTTTGGCCATGAACCTCTTAACACTTAAGAGCAGTTTCATACAGATGGTGGTCATCTGGTGGACATTGAGGAAATAATCAGAAACAGAGTATATCAACCCAGAAAACAACTCCACAGAAGGAGAGTAAGAAGACAGTTTTATTACTGAATAAGCATTAAGCCAAATTAGTGATACACATCACAGTCAATCTGCTAAGAGGCTACAAAGACAGAAAGTCCTCTTTCTGTATCAGGAACAATTTAATTTTTTCTTGTAATTTCTAGTTAGCCTCACATGGATAAAGACTCAGCTTCATGCACAACAACCTATTCATTTTTATGAGGTTATTATTTTCCATACAAATAGCTTACAAAGGAATTAAGAAACTGCCAGAAAATGGAAATGGTTCAGTACCTTCATAACTTCTTCAAGATACCGTGTTGAGCTTCCATTTGCATATGCCGTTTGTACAACACCAATATTCAGACTTTCTCCAATCTAGACAACACAATGAAATGGTTATGCATCTAAAGCAAAAACACTACAAAAGCAAACATATGTTCTAAAGAATGACAATGTGATCAACAAATTCAGCCGTGCCTTATTTTATGCAATATGTAAGTGACTGAATCAAAATTTACATATAGGCCAGAAAAAAAGCTAAAATACTTCTGAGCACTATTTAAACAATTCTACAAGGAATCTTTTACAAAGAAACCTATGATTTCTTGATTTTTTTTAAATATATTTTTTATTGATTTTACACAGAAAGGAATTGAGAGGGATAGAGAGTTAGGAACGTCGATGAGAAACATCGACCAGCTGCCTCTTGCACACCCCCCCACTGGGGATGTGCCCGCAACCAAGGTACATGCCCTTGACCAGAAATGTACCCGGGACGTTTCAGTACGCAGGCTGACGCTCTATCCACTGAGCCAAACTGGTCTCAGCAGGTTTCTTGATTTTTATTTCAATATTTTAAATAGAAGTATTTATTGAATTGATGAAGTATATCTTTTCCAGACGTAATAATTACTTCCCATTCATCCTATAAGGCTAGCCAGAGATTTCCAAAAGATCAAAACAAATCTCTGAAGATGAGATTTCCTGTTTAAACCAGAGGCTTTGGGAATTTCTGATGGAACTTCCATTATTAAAGTGTCAGATATGAAGAATTCAAAACTTCATAAAGCTTCAAATCATAAAACTGCCAATATGAGGAAGCAAAGAATAACTTCAGATTCCAAAAAGCAGTTCTCCAAAGTTGAAACGTCTAGAATAACCATCTTTTTGTATTTTCCAGTCACACAAAAAAGGAACTTCCCACAAACTGTGCCTTTTAGAAATTTAACTGACTGCTATAGATGCTACAGAACTATTTCACCAGGAAGTCTAGTTTTAACGGGCATCAGTGACTCCCTGCCATACCTCCAGCAGGAGCTCTTTAAGGAAGCTACCAATGAGCGTCGCTATCTTGTCTCCATCAATGAGATGAAAGTGGCCATCTGCGTCAGAGTAGTAATAAACAATTCTGTCTGCATCTCCATCAAAGGAACAGCATCTTTCATTGGGTTTCATTTCTATTCCTAGTACACAGAATAATTAAAAATGCATTTCAGTCTAAAAAACGGGAATACAACTCAATATTAAAAGTTTTAGGTATTTTTTCTTATTCTATCGATAGTTATAAGAGGAAATTTTTTCACTAACGTGTGATCACAGCTGGTCTTACGTGTTACATGTAAACATGTCCACTATGATTATTCAAGAAATAGTTAAAATTATTCTTGCAAATAAAAACCAGTGTCTTAATCTTCTAACAGTATCCAGGCTTATTGGTAGTTACAGGATAAATTCACAGCTAACTGAAAAAGAAACACTCAAAATCTATCTATGCTGAACTTGACATTATGCTAAGATAATATTCCACTTTATAAGCCAGCTGACTTGGCAACACAGGTTCCCATATAGTTGCTTAAAAGCTATAGGTAATTCTGAATGCAATTTATCTAGTCTATTATGTCCTTTACATATAAAAAATAATCATCAACAGAGGAGGTATGTGTTTTTAATTTAATTCAGATAGGAATGATTTATTTTTCATACCATCAGGAACAAGAAGCTGATGTTTCTATCTCTCCTCTCACTTCCTCTCTTAAATCAATAAAATATATTTTGGGGAGGGAGGGGCAATATTAAAATATGTACACAGATAATAATTTCATAAAAAATATATTTTAAAAAACAAAACAATTATAGCCCATGAGAGAGAAATGGTTTCTGTAATTTGCATAAAATTATTGAAACCTCAGCAACTGTTACAAATTTATTATATATAAGGACATTAACATATTTCCAATGCAACATGAAGCAATTAGGCAGTGAATAAGAATTTAAGATTGACTACTGGATACAACACAAGCTCCATGAAAGTCAGGGCTTCTGGTTTGTTCATACTATAGCCCCAGTGCCTACAGCAAGAGAAAAAGACCTCATGATTTAGTGAATGGATAGATCAGGGCCTGAGAACTGAGCTGCAGGTAAATAATAGTCAAAAGTAGCAATCAATGAAAGGGAGCTTAAATTGCTTACTACAATAAGGCATAAAAATAATGTTAATGTGAGAAGCCACTAGATAAGGTCTGTAGAATTCTGAAGAATGCAGTCCTTAGGGTGGAGCCACTCCACTGCAGTCAGTCCATGTGACATGAGGTAAAGAGAAGCCAAATTCCAATATTTAAGTGAAATCAAAGCATTTTAAAAATGGCCCTGGCTAGGTAGATCAATTGGTTAAAGCATCATCCCAATACATCAAGGTTGAGGATTCGATCCCCAGTCAAGACACAAGAATCAACCAGTGAATGCATAAATAAGTATAACAACAAATCAATGTCACTCTAAAATCAATAAACAAAAATTAGTAAAAATAAATGGTGGCAACTAATGCAATTAAACACACAGACACACGGATCAAACAAAACACATCTGCAAACCAGGCTAACAATTTTGAATCTAATGCAGCTAAATATAAAAATCTCTTACTACAACAACAATCTGAAGAACATTCTCCCTCCTAACATGCCCACTGTGGAAAATACTGACTTTGGAAACATGTAATTCAGCAGGAGCATTCTCCTTCCATAGTGTGTCTAATTCAACAAGATGAAAGATAATGCTACTTAACTATTGCTATCCTTTAAATCAGTGATTCTCAAAGTGTGGTCCTTGATAGAAATGCAAATTCCTACAATTTACAAACCCTATGTAAACCTACAGATTACCAATCTCTGATTTTGCTTCCCCATTCCACATGCTGTAGGAGTCCTGTGACTCACAGGCAGAGCAGTCCATGTTTTAAATGGCACTGATGAGTAGGAAGGTGCCTAGATGTCTACAAGTAACACCAAGACTAAATGCATGACTTCTCATTTGGCCACTTCTGTTTACAAATGAGATTGGTTTAAAAACTCCAAAAACAAATTTACATACCTTGTGGAGGTTTCTGATGACTTTTCACAAAGTCAGCCCCACATAAATGATTGAGTTTCCCTGTAGTCCCAACGTTAAACAACTGAATGGACAGCCCCTCGGAGAAGTAGTTTTTCATTTCTTTCAGCTTCAGGGCCCCTATGCCATTTGCACAGTCAACCTTAAGTGATAGACATTCGTCCCCACTGCAGAAAGCCTTAAACAAAAGACATAGGGAAGAAAAATCTCAAGTTCTAAAGATGAACAGTGAAACATAAGGCATGCATACGTATATGTAAACATCTATTATTTCAATTAGTTCATCTATTTTAAACCAAGAAACAAAAGGGCACACATATTCAGATGAAAATCATAAAACATCAAGGTAAAATTTTAAAATACCCCTTTTTGAACACTTTGACACAGGAACAGTTTCAATGATTGAATGACTTATGGAAATAGTTTGTTAAATAAAAATTTTAGTATCACAGCTGAAAAATCTTTTTTAAAAGATTTATTAGTCATTGCTAGAAAAAAAAGGACTGCACTCAGGTTAGAGTCTAAAACCCCAGCAGCATAGCTGGATAGAACAGACATGATCACTGTCGTCTCAGAGTTTTGCCAAGTGTTTATATACATCACATACGGGGAAGAAGGATGTAAGCGGTTTTGCAGAGATTACATTAGCTATCCATAAAGGGATGGGAGAAGTGAAGCGGGCCAGTTATGGATAGACACAGAGTCCAAATCAGAAGTGTTTGCTCCCTTGGATAGATTATGGGCAAATAGGAAGTTCACGTTAAATAAGCAGAGGCTCCTGGGGTTCAAAAATGCCTGGCCATTCTCTCTCTAGAATAACTGCAGAAATAGCACCTGGAAATTAATCTGAAGTTCCAATCGACACCTGTTAATGTGAGCAGTCTCTTGTTAGCTGGTCCGCAGCTGGTAATAGGCTAACTACTATGTTTCTTTCTCACTCTCTGGGCAATGTAATTTAATTGAGAACATCTCAGAATTTTTTTTTTCAAGCTTTATTAGATTTAGCCTCAATAAGCAGGTCCCTTAAAAGTAATATAGTCACATGACAGTCTTTCAAAGGTGGGAATGAGCAGTAAAACATCTGTCATTCTCTTCATAAGCATGTAACAGCACTCATCTGAATGAATACTTATAACCACAAGAAAACCACCATGTTTGTCCGCTCAGTGATCTAAGGATGTGTTTCATGCCTTGCCAAAGTAAATGCAAACAGAGTTAAGATACAAGGACCAGGCTCTGTGTAGACCTGGAAAGAAAATGATAAGCCGAATTTTTGGAAAAAGGAGAAGTGACAGACTATGTAATTAACATTCCAGTTTTCACCTGTTTGGTAAGTTCCACAAAAGCCTTGGAGAGCTTCTGGTAGTAACCTTCTGTGGTGGCCTGTCCGTACTGGCCCTGGGTATTCCGGCAGTACACCATGTAGTGCAGCTGCGGCGTTGTCAGCAAGCCGTAATCTGTCACAGAACGGAAGAAAGCAATGTACCCCATTTCTTAATAAAGGAAAAAGTTTAAATGGATTCATACGGAAGGAACTGAAGGTGACAAAATACAGTTCAGAAAACACAAAATGCTAAATTTTAAAAAGCATAAATATCCACTGAAATCATTACAAGTGCATGTCACATTGTAATTTATAGTAAGAATTATGTATTTGGTGTTTGTCCCTATTCCTGACAGACCTTCTAAACTCTTGGAATTTCTTAAGCAGAGAGAGCAATATGATGTCTTTTATTACCTTGAAAAAGTGTCATTTGGGCCCTGGCGGTGTGTCCAGTGGTTAGAGCTCTGGCCCAGACACAGAAGAGTCAGTCACAGGTTAGATTCCAGGTCAAGGGCATGCACCTTGGTTGCAGGTTCAATCCCTGGCCCGATTGGGGCTTGTGCATGAGGCAACGAATTGATATGCCTCTCTCACATCGATGCTTCTTTTCCCTACCCCTCTCTCCACTCCCTCCCTTCTGCGCTCTCTAAAAAAGCAATTGAAAGAATATCCTTTCTTGAGGATGTTTTGTTTTTTTTAAAAGGTGACTTTTGGAAAGCCCCTAGGTACCTAAGCATGGAGGCTGATTTCACGTGATTAGAGGGATGGTTCCTTCAGCTCTTTGCCCCACCCCCAGCTTCAGAGAGGGAGGCTGGAGAAGCTGCAGATTGGGTTTAGTCACCGATGGCCAATGATTTCGTCATTCAATCCAATGTAATGAAGCCTCCATAAAAACTCAAAAGACCAAAAGGCCAACGTTCCGGTTGGTGGACATGTGGAAACCTATCTAAATAGAAGAACTCCACTATTAGGGTCAAGGAAACTCGTTTTATCCTCTGGGCATTCCTCAAAACTTGAAATATAGTTTTCAGTGCAAAAAAGTCTAAAAAAGTCCATGTTAGTCTAAAAAGGGGAACCCAGATGAAGGCCAGGCCCTCATAAAGCTGAGGTCCCAGAGGACTGTTCTTCAGTGCAAAAATGAGTCAAAGTGAATCAAAAGTGAGTCATGGAGGGGAAGAGATCAACCAAGGAACTTGAATGCATATAAACATAACCAATGGACACAGACATGCAGGGGTGGGGGTTGGGGGGCATGAAGGCTGGGGCTGGGAGAAAACAAAGGGGTATGGAAAAGGGAACATATGTAATACTTTCAACAATAAATAATTTAAAAAAAACACAAAAAACAAAAGTGAGTCAAGCCCCGGCTGGGTGGCTCAGTTGGTTGGAGTGCTGAACTGTACACCAGAAAGGTGGCAGGCTTGATTCCCAGTTGGGGTACCTACCTAGGTTGTGGGCTAGAACTGTGGTCAGGGCAGCTACGGGAGGCAGCCAATCAGTGTTTCTCTCTCTGTCTCAAATAAACTTCTCGGGTGAGGAGTAAAAAAAAAAAAAAGTCAAAAGTCTCCACCGAGAAAAGCTGTCTTAGAACTCAGCAACGCAGAGGGAAAACCCACGGCTAAAGAACACAACCACAATCACAGGCCTCCCACGATTTCCAACCCAAATTCCCACCCACAGGGGTCTGAAAGAACCTTGTCATCAAAGAACCATGTTACCAACCAGCCAGGTAGGACTCCCAGCAGAAGCAAACATTAAACTCTGCCTTCACCATAAACCTCAAAAATGTCCCACAAATAATTTGTTTTTCAAGAAAAACAAATAGCTTATAGTAAAACATCGAAACACACAAAAAGAGGCAACATGAGCAAGGAACAGGAGAAATAGATAGCAGAGATAGGCCAGTATCCAATAAATATTCATTCACGAAATCTGTCAACAGTCTTCATAGTCATACACTAGAGTTTGCATAAAGGCGAAAAGTCATTTTAAGTTCTTGGCTGTGGTATAAGGATTAGATGAGAGGAGATGGAGGAAACCCCCCAAAATAAGTAAAAGCTTAAGTCTAAGGAAGGGAACCGTAAAAGGAGGAGAAAAACTATTCCAAAAGGCATACTAAGGGATGAAACAAATTTTATGACCAATATAAAAATTACCAAATAAACATTCACTAACTATGTACAGTTAAAAAGCATAACCCCTCTGTTCCATTGATCAACCCAGAAACACAGGAGCCATTCTTTACAGCTCTATTCTCATCACATCACAAAGTCCTCTGGATTAAATGTTAATTTCCAGTTCTTCCATTTCTCTTTCTTGTACAAACTTCTGCAGTTTCCTCGCTCTTTTTCTTTCTTATGACCCTCCTATCTCTCGCTACACAACACACAGAATGACAGCCTTAAAATCCTTCAGTGGAGACCCGTTGCATCTGGACTAAAACCCAAATCTTTAGCATGACATATCAATCTTGTAATGAGTTGGCCCTGCTCACCTCCCTAATCTTATCCTCCACCAGCTTCCCCCAATTCTCCTTGTGCTATAGCTCCATTAACCTCTTGTTTCCTGAAATACACTGAAGCTGAAGAGAGAAATGGAGGAAATAAAAATAAAATCAAATTTTTTAAAACTCAAACAGTAAAAACGTGATGCTTCTAACGATAGAATCTAAGCGTTGGAAATAACCATTTTAGGAAGAACACAGTTTTGGGCAGAGTGAATGTAAAGCAGGGCAGCCACCTAATGGGGGCATCAGTGCACATCGAAGACCAACACACTGCACACTGCAGGCTGAGCCATTGAGGGGGTCATGAAGTCGTCTTAGACTCATCAGCATGTCTGTATTTTCTAAAGCAATGGTGAATGCATATCGTGCAGTATGGGTAAGTAGTATGTACGGAAACTTTTATCTCAGCTATATATACAAGCACACATACACGTCATGATACCAAATGGGTTTCTTACTATGGGTTGAAATACTCAAATATAGACTACTGAATGGTTGTACATACCAGGCATTCAGAAATGTTTGATGAATAAATGAGTAAATAAAAGAATATACATACTGGATCTATGTCTCTCAGACATCAGGCAGAGAGAGAGAGAGAGAAAGCGAAGAATGGACACTAAGAGAGAGGGGAGAGGAGCCCACAGAGAAGACCAACAAGCAACAGTGGAAAGGAAGCGGAGCTTATAGAAAGAGGGAGGCCAAATGATGAACAGCTGCCAAGACACAAACTGAAATAATAATTTCAAAACATAAATTCTAAAAGTTATTTTTTAGGTTGCAGATCCCTTTTAGTATCTCACAAAAGCTATGAGTCCTCTCCTTAGAAACTAAGTGTGTGTGCAGGCAACACTCTGCATATTATATTAATAAGGACACAGGGTGTGGGCAGCTTAACCAACCACCACCACTCCCCGCAGGTCCCGGGCCCAATTTAAAAATCCCCACTTTTATAACACCACTGGATTTGACAATTAGAATTCAGGTAAGTGTCAGGAGGCATTTCGCTGGAGGGGCAAGGATGGAGACTGGCCTGCAGAAGACGAAGTAATGACTAGAGGAGCTAAAAGAAAAGTGATCTGGGGTACTATGGAAGAAGCCAGGTTATCTGTGAAAGAAGGGAAGACACAGGACCTGGAAAGGAGGCTGAAAGGTAAAGAGAAGAAGAAAAAATTTTTTTTAAATATATTTTATTGATTTCTTACAGAGAGGAAGAGAGAGGGATAGAGAATTAGAAACATCGATGAGAGAGAATCATAGATCAGCTGCCTCCTGCACACCCCCTATTGGTACATGCCCTTGACCGGAACCAAGGTACATGCCCTTGACCGGAATTGAACCTGGGACCTTTCAGTCCGCAGGCCGACGCTCTATCCACTGAGCCAAACCGGTTTCGGCAAGAGAAGAAATTTTTACATGAAAACAACCTAATACTAGGAAAGCTCACCTCAGAGCACAATGGGTTCACTGTATTCACATGGGGCACAACCCATATAAGAAGAGGATTCTAGCCTCCATTTTGTTGCATTTAAAACTCCCCTATTTGTTAAAAATAGAGGGGGAAACCCCAAACCACCAGTCAAAACTTAAAATCATGATTACAAGCATACCAATGATATTTTCCATCCCTACATGACAGGCAACAGCTGATTCCACACGTGATCAGCCATTGGGGAATGAATACCTGATATTGACAAAAATTCCCCAGGATGGACTTCTTCAAGTAACTTCAAGGAGTTTTATATCAACAAGTTCAGCCTGCCAAAGCCGGTTTGGCTCAGTAGTAGGGCGTCAGTCTGCGGACTGAAAGGTCCCAGGTTCAATTCCGGTCAGGGGCATGTACCTTGGTTTCAGGCACATCCCCGGTATGGGGTGTGCAAGAGGCAGCTGTCGATGTTTCTCTCTCATTGACATTTCTAGCTCTCTATCTCTCTCCCTTCCTCTCTGTAAAAAATCAATAAAATATATTTTTAAAAAGGGGGAAAACAAGAGATGCAATCCTTTAAAACAACAACAACAAAAAAAAAAACAAGTTCAGCCTTACTAAAAGACAATTGTTTAAGATCAGTGTTTCCTACATGTAATGTATACATAAAATAAAATATGCATGCCCAGAAAACTTTTTTTTTTCATTTTAAAAACTAGTATTTTATATCCTGAAGTTCACTTTTTAAAAACTTTATCTGTATTTTCAACACTTTCTAAAATAAATATTACTTTTATCATTTTTTAAAAAGTTTTTTAAAGATTAAATAAATTTACAACTTAAGACAACTACATACCATGGAATTGACCTCCTGAAACAGTGATGCCATCTATTACAGACTGTGAAAGTTTCTCACTGCTGGGCCTAGGAGAGAAAAGGGGAAAAATATTACCTCCCATCCAGAAACCAACAGGTGGCTAGTTCTGAAAGCTAATGCTGAAATTATATACTACAAATATCAGAATAATAAATTCATTGTATTTGAACTGAAACCTGTCAAGTATGAAAACTCTGAAAATAATAATTTGGGTAGAGTATGAGTAGTCTTTTACAATGTTATTTCTTGAAAAGATACTGGCTTTTAAATGAATTTAGAAAACAGATATAAAGGATGTACTAATTACACCATACCCAAATACCTTGTCAAGTTTGACAATAACTGCACATACTGCCTAAGAACAATAATACTGCAGCACTGGGTACTAAACTATCAAGGATATAGAACTCACTTTTCATTTTAAAACATCAGAACAAATTATCTACCTACCTGAAAATAAAGATCATTATATGACTGCCTTGTAGAAAAAGATGTTCTGTATCATTTCTACTAGTTAATAGGCAAGAGGCAAATACATGTGGGAGGGCTTTATTGTGAGATCACTTGCTTCAAAACATAAGTCACTTGGCTATTTCTATTACCTATAAATACCAGTGATCATGGAACCAGTGGCAGTTGGAAGGCCCTCTGATAACACATTTAAGGGTAAAACACCAGTGCAAGGCAATAGAAAATGGAAAGCATCTCTGGCTTAAAACAGATCTTATGTAAATGCGAATGCTTGTTTCAAAGCACACTTTTAATCTAACATTTTACAAAAATATTTTTGTAAAGGAAGGTAAAAGCTGCCAAATATGAAAAATTTGTAGAAATAAACTTAACATTTTACAGTGAACTCCAGCACGGAAAAATAATATAAATATATGGGCCAACAACACGGGATTATAAAATAAATCTCTAAAATAATGAATTAAAATCATGTGTTCTTACTCTATAGGGGAAAAAGTAAATCTAGAAGTACAGGGGGGGAGACATTTGTTAATTTTCTCGTGCCAAGAAATATATTATTCTGGGTCCATTATTTCATGTAACCCTCCCAAAAACCCTGTACTAGGCCTTATCATCAACATGTTATCGATGAGCAAAGGGAAGCTCCAAAAGGTTCAAGTGGAGAGTAAGTGTTGGAGTTGGTGTTCTGACTCTAAAACCCAAGCTGCAGTGCTGACTTAGTTCCTACGTCTCCTACAAAGGCCGGAGGGGAGAAGCCTCTCGGGGCAGTTCTGTCTTTCTTCCCACTTATCACGGCTGCCACCACTGATACAGTCACTTATACTGAGTTCCCAAAGCTGCTTTCACCACTAACTCCACGGTCACCTGGTATCTCTACCAATCACGACGAAGGCATCCTGCCGCAGATCCACTGCAGCTTTCTCGCTGATGTCCAGCAGCACTCTCTGCACATCCTGCTCCTCAGCATTTGCCAAACAGGTAGCATGTTCCTCCCAGGAAGGTGCCAGCATTTCACCCAAAGGATCAACCAATTTGACACCATTGTCCTCCTTAAAAGAAAAACGACTGATAAGCCATCTGTGCACATTCGAAAGGGTTAAGTTGAGGAAGTAAATAAACTCAAGCTGTTTTTTCCCAACAAAAGACAGTGATGGCTGAGAGCTTCACCAGTGACCCTTACTGAATGCCAGACCCTACCTAGACTATGTAGGTGTTTTATACTCATAAGCTCAGTAAATCTTCATGACCCCACACACCAACCTAATGATCCCATTATTATTCTTTTTTTTTTTTTTTTTTATGGATTTCAAGGAACGTACTGTCTTTTTAAAATCAAGCAATATGCACTATAGAGTACAGTCAAAGAACAAAACAGCAGAGAGGTAATATGCTCATGGAAAATAAAGAACACCACAGAAACCAGGTAAAGGGCAAATTCCAGCCAAAATACAAAGGCAGTTCATAGACATGTATTTTAAACACAGTAAGTATTCAGATATTCTCAAGAGTTATTATATTGTCCAGCAATCAACTCCACTTGTATTACCAAAACTTCCACAAACATGCTCATGCACGTATCACATGCTAGAAATATACATATAATCTGGTACTTATTGTTTTTTTTAAATAAATCTTTATTGTTCAGATTATTACAAATGTGACCTCTTCCCCCTCAATTGCTCCCCTCCATCAGATTCCCATTCCACCCTCTGTCCTTTCCCTATTCCCCATTGTCCTCATCCATAGGTGCACAGTTTTTGTTCAGTCTCTTCCCACACCCCTACTCCCCTTTTCCCTGAGAATCGTCAGTCCACTCCCCTTCCATACCTCTAATTCTATTATATTCACCAGTTAATATTGTTCATCAGATTTTTTAGTTCCCTTGGTTTTTAGATTCACTTGTGGATAATTACGTATTTGTTAATCATAATTTTTGTCTTTATCTTCTTCCTCTTCCTAAATAACCCCCTTCAGCAATTCATATAATTCTGGTTTGGTGGTGATGAACTCTTTTAGCTTTTTTTTATTTGTGAAGCTCTTTATCTGTCCTTTGATTCTGAGTGATAGCTTTGCTGGGTAAACTATTTTTGGCTGGTAGATTATTCTGGCTGTTCATCACCTTGAATATTTCTTGCCATTCCCGTCTGGCCTGCATGGTTTCTGTTGAGAAATCAGCTGACAATCATATGGGTGTTCCTTTATAGATAACTACCTGCTTTTCTCTTGCTGCTTTTAATATTCTCTTTGTCTTTTGCTCTTGGAATTTTAATTATGATGTGTCTTGGTGTGGTCCTCCTTGGATTCCTTTTGTTTGGGGTTCTGCAGGCTTCCTGGACTTGTAAGTCTATTTCTTTCCCCAAGTGGGGGAAGTTTTCTGTCACTATTTCTTCCAGTATTCTTTCGGTATCTTGCTCTTTCTCTTCTTCTGGAATCCCCATAATTCTGATGTTGGTTCTCTTGAAATTGTCTTCAACTTTCTGGATTCTCTTATCTTCTCCCTTCTGCAGAGGAGTGTCCTCTGGCTCTTTGTGTTCTAAATCTTTGTCTTGATTCTTGCGATCTTCCAGTCTGTTTTTAGGACTTTGAATAATATATTTTATTTCAGACAATGTTTTCTTCGTTTCTAGTTGATCCCTTATTATTTCTAGTTGCTCTCTTTTCATATCCTCATAGGTCTCATTTATTTTATCGGCCTTTTTTAGGATATTGTTGAATAACCTTATAACTGTAGTTTTGAACTCAATGTTCAATCTTTTATTTTCCTCCATCTCCTTCCTTTGTGTCCTTTCTCTTGTCTGCATTTTAGTTGTTTCCCTGATTTGATGGAATAGCTTTGTGTGCTAGGTGTTCTGGTAGAGCCCAATAGCACAGCCTTCCCAGTTACCTGCGGTGGACAGTCTTGGTGTAGCCCTTTGTGGGCTGTGTGCAGTCTTGTTGGTGAGCTTTGCTTATTGTTGATATCACTGGGAAGCGTTGATCTCCAAGCCAATTGGCTGTGAGGATCAGCAGTGTCTCAGCTAGGAGGGCTTCTGTACTCTGCTTGGATAGGGCGGGGTCTCGGGGTGGCGCAGACAATCTTTGGTTCCCTGTCAGTCTCGCCTTAGAAAAGTCCTTCATAGTTCCTGACGTTCAGCGTGCCTTCTCTCTCCTTCCCAGATGGCAGAGCCTGCTCTCAGCTAGCCGTCTGGCACTTCAGGGCAATGCCTCCCCTGTTTTTCAGTTCTAAATTCAAATTTATTGTGGTAGGCTGCATTCGGGTGTCTACCCTATGCCGCCATCTTGGTTTCTTTCCCATTATTATTCTAATCTGATAAAGATTCAGATCAAGTTATTTGCTTATGTTCACACAGCCAAGAAGAGTCAGTGCTGATATTAAAAATTAAGTCCATCTGCTTCTTTCACCCAATAGACTACACTAGTTTTAAATGGCCGCACCTGTGCTTTAATCACCGCTAAGGCACAGCTGGAGCAAGAGTCCTTCTCACTATGACTTTAGATTCTAAGCACAGCCTGGCCAGTGCGTCAACCAGCGGGTGGCACAGAAGTTGAAAACTGACCCCTAACTCTGTCCTGCTCAAATATAATATCTGGGGGAAAAGAGTACAGTATGAGCAGCGGTCCCCAATGGGTGGTCTGCAGACCACTGGTGGTCCATAAGGTCCAAAATGTCAACTGAAGGAAACAGCTCAGAATTGTTTTAAGAACTGCAATAACTATGAGGTCCTGCCTCAAATCATTAATAAATTACGGCAATTTAGACATGCATTTATAGTAATGCACATTTAGAAGATGGACAAGCAAAGTCCTCGTGTTTTGGGGGAAGAGGTTACAATCCTACATAGCTTTAACTTACTTTTGATTTAGCTACAAAGGCAAAAATCTCATGCCCTATTAACCAAACAAAAACATAGTATTCAAATCATGTATATGGTGGGGCAAAAGTAGGTTTACAGTTGTTCGTATGGAAAATAATACAATACTAAATAATAACACAAGAATATATGTGTTTCGCATACTCACAACTGTTTTTACCCATCCTGTATTAGTGAGCCACAGAATAAAAGTGTAGCTGTATCAAAAGGAATCTATATATATATATATATATATATAAAAAAGCCTAAGTGACTGGACAGTAGCTATGATGCCCACTGACCACAGGGGAAGTGGGGGGCAGATGCTCAACACAGAGCTGTGGACAGCAACTTATCAGAGTGCCATCTCGCACCACAGGACCCCACAGGGGATGTTGGACTGCTGGTTTCAGCCCAATCCCCACAGGCAAGGCCAAGGGACCCCAACTGCTGGAGGGACCTCGCTCACTTCAAAGACACCCTTCAAGCTCTGGTGCCACCCCAGGTGTCACCTTCTAATTAATTTCCTTTCAATGTGCACTAATCCCTGCACCAGGCCTCTAGTACTTTGATAAAAACTTGTCATAAACACTAACACCAAGAGCCTCATCAACATTTTGTTCAGAGCTCACTTTTGGATCCCTGGAGCCTACTGTTTGGCTATTTCTTCAGAATAGAAAACATTCCCTAGCTATTAAAAAAACCTGTCTGAAAATTTTCAAAATGTACTGTCTTTGCAAACATTTGCCCTTTCCCCACCTTGCATCTAATCTCTCTAATTACTGCTGAATTAAGAGAGGAAAGATTTTTTATTACTGATACTGTGGCAACTAATTTGGAAGGACATTTTGTTATTTCTCTAATGTGGACACTCCCCGCAAAATAACAGACTCATTTCATCCTCCCCACGCCCTCTACTGAATCATGAGCCATATGACTACTCATTCAGAAAAAGCTATTTCACATCCAAAGGCACAAAACGACATAACGGCCCATTCCCAGAATTAGAATTTGAACACTAGGTCAAACTGCTCAGACACATTAAGGTTAGGTCTTATAAATAAGGGTTTGCTTTATCAGAGAACTAAATGCATTACCTCAGGATTGTGTGATGCTGTTACCATGACTCCTATTGTAGATTTTGTCTGTTTTGACCGAAGAACAGCTAATAATCCCATGCGAAACATGACATGATCAAGATGTTCTGCTTTTGTTCGAAATCCAGCAGTGCCATATTGAAGAACGAGGCCGCTGGGCTTGGCGTGTAATGCCGAGTGTTTTGTAATAGCATCTAAATCCATGTCTGCAAAATTAAGGAATATTTTTCAGGCATATTAAGAAAACTTTCAAGGACCATTTGCTTCAAAAACTGCCACCCCAAACTTATAGGCATGCCTTATTTTAAACCCCCTCCTCCCCCCAAGATCCATTTTTTAAGAATAAAGAATGACAGAATAAGTCCTGGGAGTTAGTAGTATCTAGAAAATCCTGCCCCAATTATATTGTCCACTTCGTGCAGAGGTCAGATTATTTCCAACTCGTCTCCAATTTTTGCTCTAGGGATATCCCTGGACTTGGGTCGAATTTAAAATGGTCCACTCTCAACTAAAATGATTCCACAGCAAGATTCCTGGACTCCTACTATAATAGATAAAAAATCACCTCATTTTACAAGTGGAACAGCTAAAGCCTGGGCCTCCGTTAAATAAACTACATTTACTATACGTAACTGATGACCCTAAAGCCCAAGGTCATGCTCTCAAATGGACTAGACCTACATATCCAAAATATCTGGGAAATCTGTGTAATTCTTCCGAGCCTACAGAGACTATTCCCAGATGAAAACGAAGTTAACAGTCTCCTTCCTCTCCAATGCCTTACAGGGGATTGCTCCATCCTCATAAGGGAGAATCAGGACACACTTCTAAATTAAACTCTGGCCCAGCCATTGGTTGGACCACCCTCCCACACACCAAAAAGGTTTAGGGTTTGGTTCTGGTCAGGGCACATATCTAGGTTGCTGGTTCCATCCTGCTGGGTGCAAAGGGGAGGTAACTGATGTTACTCTCCCCCTTCCTCTCTCTCTCAAATTAATGAACATATCCTTGGGGAAAGAAGGAAAGAAGGGAGGAAGGGAGGGAGGGAGGGAGGGGCTCTGAAAGTAACATCTTCCATTTACCTTTAGTTTAAAAAAAAAAAAAAAAATCAAACATTGACCTTAGCCCTCTAACTTTAGACTACTTAGCCACTTCCTTCTCTGGAATACTCCCATTTCAAGGGGAACTTGGGGCTTCCAACCTCAGCTGGAGGAACTCCTCACCCCTGGGTCAGCCCCATTTCCCATTAGCCCTGAGAGAGGCAGCAGTCCCAGGCTGCCGGCCTCACCACAGGCAGACCAGGCAGCTAGTGCGGTGGGATTCCAGGCAATAAACAGGCAGCGCCAACAGAGCCAGTCAATCCTTTTGCTGGCGGAGGACCTTGCCTTCAACTTATAAAATACACCTGTGGAGCGCCATAAAGCTAAGCGCTCTCAAATAAGGTCTGCCTGCATCTTGTTTCCTTTAACTTTTGTTCATTGAAGCAATGAACAAAAGTTAAAGGAAACAGTAAAAAAAAAAAAAAAAATGTTTTGTTCGGCTGGGGAAAAAAAAAAAAAGCTGGCGTTCGCCAAGCTGACTTAGCTCGGTCCAAAGTGATCAAATTTCTCTTTCCCAAGCATGAGCACATTTTGTTAAAAATTGACCAGTGGGTAATGTATCACGGTTATTCATAGGGCGTACACCAACGCTGTAAGTCCCCAGAGTCTTTTTTTTAAAAAAAATTATTATTATTAAGATAAAACGCGTCCACCCCTTACTGCGTTTTTGGTGCTGAAACTAACTTTGAATGGGTCCGTGAGAGCTTTTAGGAAAAGGACTTCGCCGTGCACGTGCCCCCTCCCCTCCATCCCATCTCCAGCACCGCGGCTGCCCCTTCCCGCCCGGCCCCGCCCGAGGCCCCGGAGCCCCGAGCCCCGCCCGGGCGGGGGGACGCGCCGCCCAGCACGCGACCCCCGGGCCGGCCCGCCCGCCCGCTCCGGGCACAGCGGCGGTGGGTGTGTCCCGCGAGCAGCGGGCCGGTCAGTCCGTTACCCACCCGCCAGCCGGCGGGCGGCCGGAGCCCCGAGGGCCGGAACGTGCCCTCTCGCCGCCCAGCCACGACCCCTCACCTCGGCCGCGAAGACTCGCCCTCCCCGGCGCCCCGCGGAGAAGCCCCTGCCGCGCGGCGCGCCCCGTACCGTTCAGACGCTCTCGGAACCCGCAGACGTGGCCCTGCGTGGCTTCCGGCTCGTCGCCCCGCCCCCCGGCCAATCACGGCGGGGAGGGCTCGCTGGCCCCGCCCCTCCGCCCGCCCCCCGCGCTGCTGGCGCTGCAGGAACTGCGGCTCCGGGCTCGGAGCGGGCTGGGCGCTGTGTCCGCTGAATGACCAGGAAGGGTGAGGCCTCCGCGGGGGCCCGGGGTTTGGGGCCAGGGGTCCGAGCACTGCGACCACCACATACCCAGCCCCGCCTGCAAATTTGGGTGGAGGGAGGAGGGATAGATCCATGTTTGGGGGAAGCTGGAGATCCTAGGGTCCCGGATGGGGGATGCCAGCCCCGTTGTGAGGCCTCTGACAAGGTGGCCTCGGTCGCCTGATGTCCCGCATCCTCCTCTCCAGGCCCGGAGTTCATCTCCCAAACCTTTGGATGCCGGATTCTTGGGCCTCCGCCCCGCCCCATCTCCGCTCAGATTGACACTAACCCTCATTTTATTTGTGTAACTGTAGGATCCCCCTCCTCCCTCCTTCCATCCCCCTAGCTACACGTGGACCCCTGGGGCAGAGGCGAAGGGATCCGAATCGTCGGAGCTCTCTGGACGCCGCCCGGGGCCGGCTGGCTCTCCGGAGAGGCGGAAAGGACCACCCGGGAGGGACCCTGGGCGCCGAGGTGGTGGGACCACCTCTGACGGTGATGGTGGTGGCTGGGCCCACAAGAACCCAGAGCCGGGGAACCCAAAGCTCCGGCCCCCCCACCCCCCAGCACTGCGGGGCTCCCACACCGCAGAGTCCAGCTCCGCCCACGCCAGGGACCTGGGAGGATGCAAGCCGGGCCCCTGGCCTTTTCTCAAAACCCAGGCTCGCTGTGCATCCGCAGGTGTTTGCCAACCACCTGCAAGGGAATAATTCGGAGCACTTGTTGAAAGTCCACATCCCAGGAACCAGATCGGGAGCGGGAGTGGGGGGGAAGGGCCGGGAATCTGAATTCTAAAGAAGTATCTTGGGGAGGCTGTGCATACTAGATTTTGGATCCGGGAGATAAGGCAGAAAGTGTAAGTGTCCCCGGTTTGTACCCCTCGCTGTATGTCCAGTGTTCCTGCAAAACCGCTTCCACGCAAAGGGGACGTCGGGAAATTTCGCTGAGCATTGCTGACTGACAAATCCCTGGGCCTTTCCAGTTTTCCTGGCAGGTTGATTTCTAGGCAACATGTCCTCCGCTTCTGTTAAGGAGTGTCTGCAGCTCCAGCTGCTGGAGATGGAAATGCTATTGTCCATGTTTCCCAACCAAGGGGAAGTGAAACTGGAGGATGTAAATGCCCTCACGACCATAAAAAGGTATTTGGAAGGCACAAGGGAGGCGCTGCCACCAAAAATCGAATTTGTGATTACACTCCAGATTGAGGAGCCCAAGGTAAGTGCCTTGAGTTGTTTTAATTATCAGGTGCCTCGTTTTTATTGGAAACACTTGAAACATGAGCTTTCAGTTTGAGGAAACAGGATATTTCTTTCCTTTCCTGGTTTGAAAGCAAAATACGTAAAATACGGTGCCCTGTAAATTGTCTTCAGTAAACATCCTGAGTTTTACATGAACATGCACATCTTTAACAAATGTATCTAGTGTTGTTTTGTTTTGTTTTTTTAATTAAAAAAACGTTTCACTACCATAATTCTACTCAGTCATCCATTTTTTTACCAATCCAACTATTATAGTATGGGTCTCTTGTGCATATATGATTTTCACAAATATAAATGTGGCCTTTAGCAAAACTGGCTTTTAAGGAGCGAATGGCTGTTTCTTTGGTGGTGCCCTAACACAGCAAATAGATAGAAATCTAAACACTGAAAATGAATTTTCCTTATTCTGACCCACTTACCTCCAGCATTACCATAGCACAGGCAGTAAGCAGACTAGACACTTGAGAGCCACTCTCCTATTCCCTACTCATCCTTTATCATTCCCACAAGGAGAGGTCTTGGTTCCCCAGGCTGGATTCAGTCCCCCTGTGTACACATTTCCATGGGTTCCTGCACTCTTCCATAGTAATGCTGCTCGCCATTGAAATGAAATACTGGGCTATGCATAATTTTTTGTTTAATGTCTGTCTCTCCTTCACTAGGCTCTAGACTTCACCAGGGTAGAAATGGCGTCTTCACTTCTTTATTCTAGCATAGGGTACCTGGCACCTGGTTAGGTGTTTGATAAATACTGGGATAAATGAATGTATAAATTGAAGGAATAGCGTAAAGTACTTAGTACAGTGTCTGGTACACAGATGCCAATAGTAGCAATAACTATTATACTTAATAAAATCATGCAGTCGCTACTGATAAACTAGCTGAGGTGATTTGATGGTACTTGATTTAAAAATCTATTTGATTTCCATTTAAGGTGAAAATTGACTTGCAAGTAACCATGCCCCACAGCTATCCCTATGTAGCACTGCAGCTGTTTGGACGGTCATCTGAGCTGGACAGACAACAGCAGCTACTTCTCAACAGAGGGCTCACTTCTTACATAGGGACTTTTGATCCAGGTGAGCTCTGTGTCTGTGCAGCAATCCAGTGGTTACAGGACAACAGTGCCTCCTATTTCCTGAACAGAAAGCTTGTTTATGAACCATCTACACAAGCAAAGCCGGTCAAGAACGTATTTCTCCGAATGTGGATCTACAGCCACCACATTTATCAGCAGGACCTAAGGAAGAAGATTTTGGATGCTGGGAAAAGGTTAGATGTGACTGGATTTTGTATGACAGGAAAGCCTGGTATAATCTGTGTGGAAGGCTTCAAAGAGCCATGTGAAGAATTCTGGCACACGATCAGGTATCCCAATTGGAAACACATTTCCTGTAAGCATGCTGAAAGTATCGAAACTGAAGGAAATGGGGAGGACCTGAGACTCTTCCATTCTTTTGAAGAATTACTCCTTGAGGCCCATGGTGACTACGGATTAAGGAATGACTATCACATGAATCTGGGCCAGTTCTTAGAATTCCTAAAAAAACAC